GCATCCCCAAAAATTTCTATCGAGATATAATATTCATATAATACTAAGAATCCATAGAATCTCATCAAAAATTCTAAATATTATATATCAACGACTCAGAAAAAATATAAGATTCAATATTCTTTCAGTACTAGAAATATTTTCTTGAATTTATTTATACATATATATTATAGATAATAAAATGTATATAGTTTTTCAATAGAATAAAATATAGAATAATAATTAAAAATAGAAATATATATATATATTATATATATATCTTTATTTATTAGTAAAATTAATATTTTTTACAGATGAGATTATATAGAATTATATATATATATATATATATCTAATATATCATCATTGAAAATACTAATTAAAAAATAAAGATTTATAATTCAATAGTAAATCGAATTCGGGTCTTCGAGTTTAGGGTTTTCGAGATACGGTCTTCCGGTCTGGGGTTTCCGGGTTTAAGGATTTCGCGGTTTAAGGCTTTCGGGTTGAAGTTCTCGGGTTTCGGCGCTCAAGCCAGGCAAGGATATTGGTTGGGTTTATTGTTTTCGAGTCTAGGGTTTTCGAGGTACGGGCGTCGGGTGTAGGGTTTCCGAGTTGATAGTCTTCAGGTTTAAGGCTGTTGCGGTTGAGGTCCTTGACGGTTCTCGGGTTTCGGCGCTCACTGTAGGAGTAGCCAGGCAGGAAGGAATTTGGTTGGGTTTATTAAGGCTTTTGCGGGGTTAAGGTCCCCGGGTTTCAACACACACCCTCGAGCAAGCCAGGCAAGGATTCGTTCGAGTTTAGCGTCTTCGATTTTAGGGTTTCCGGGTTTCGGCGCTCACATGCGCTCACACTCGGACAATCCAGGCGAGGCATTTCCGGGTTTAAGGTCTTCGGGTTTGAGGCTTTCGCAGTTAAGGTTTCGGGCTGAAGGCTATCGGGTTTCGGAACTCACTCTCGGACAAGCCAGGCAAGGAAATTGGTTGGGTTTAAGCTGGCATCGGAGCAAATGGAAGAGCGTATCCTCGAAGGTTACACCGAAACCTAAAGGAATGCCCAGGAAGACGAAGGCTTCCGAGACTCTGAGGTGGTATGGAGCCCGCACCCCGTAATCTTCTCATGCAGGACTGAGCATTTCCCGAGATTCAGTTGTAACCTAGTACTTTGCAGGGTGCGCTGGACTAATCACAGCCGGTACTGTAGCCACGTTCCCACTACCAAAATATGATCTGCATAAAGCAGTAACAGTAGGAAGGAAACGCCTCCGACCGACACCGGCGCGAAGATGATCTACGATGGGGTCTACAACCCAGGCGATAACCCTAGAGAACAACTCTCTCAAGTTTCGGCACCCAACTGTGTCCACCGGCTTCCAGCATCACTTCGCTTTCGGAAAGACGCTGCCAAAGGGCAAATGTCTCTCTGTTGGGGCCTGCATTGTTAGACATACTGCAGAATCGCACGATGCGAGAGCGTATCGAACGCTGCCCTGATGTCCAGCTTAGCACAGTGAAGTGGGCTCTCGCACCGATTGCTGACGCTGATGGCGGGCCGTGCAGTGTTAATTCCATCCATCGTCTGACGGCCTGGCTGACAACCGAGCTGCAATGCATTGCACGTCGGCGCGTGCCCTCTCATACGATGAACTGGCACTCGCCCCGACTGTTTTGCAGAAGTGCGGGTGAAACAAATCGGACGCAAGTTTGAGGCCCCAGCATGAAGTGTAATTTTGGCAATACAACTAATTCGTCCCACTTTCCATTCCCGAGGGACTTCTCCCGTCTGGAGGGCCCTAGTGAAGAAATCACAAAATGGCCGCCAGCCACGATAAAATGCTAGCGCAATAGTCCGACCCCGTCTAGAGTCTACGTTTTATTAACAAGCCCAGGCTGGCTGACATAGGACAAACCGAATCCGGAGTCTAAGGTGTCTTGCGCTGTCGTACCCTGAAGGCTCCAATGTAGAACACGATGTCCCCATTCCTTGGGTGGTTCTCGCAAGCCCTTCCGGCCCCCTCAATCTGATTGACACTGCAGCCGTAGAGCCTCGCAATGAGCCCCGTGTCTAGAAACCGCCGGTTATGCTGGCCCTTAGCATCAGTAAGATGGTGGCACTCGCTGGGCGGTTCGCGCTGGGTTGTATGGAATAGGACATTCGTGGCATCTACGTAGACCCTTCCCCTCCATTTCCATTCGACCCTTGCAGCATCCCCGAAGCCCGCCATCAAATCCTTGGCCCTCACGATGCTTCTTATCTTTTGACGTTCTTCCAGGGAGCGCTTCCGCTGCACCCACAACTTCGCCCCGCATTGACTTGGAAGGTTACTTCGGGTGTAGCCCTGTGTATAAGGCCTCAAGACCTGAGTTTGAATAGACCCCCTCTCACCCGTAAATCCATGGGTTGGCTAGTTCAGCGAGAGTCTTGCAATGGCGCTCCTCGAATACAGGACAGATACCTCCCGTAGAATGCCGTGGCCTCCCTGTTTCTCCAAGGACTCCTTGATTTCAGCCAAAATTTTCTCCTCGTTTGGCCTTATTATAAGCCTCTTTCACTATCTGAACGTCGTCTACTGGTCGACCTCCCACCGATGATGCGTTCGTCGAGCCGAACCCAGTGCCAGTGTTTTGATTGAGGCAGCATGTTGTTGTGTAGTCTGATTACAAGTCGCAATCTCTTGCAAAAAGCCAGTCTGCTGTTGGGCCAGTTGCTGGATGTCGCTCCGCAGACCTGAGAGCCACCAGGGGTCACTGGATGCTTGCTTAGGGGGGTTCAGATGCGGAAGAGGGAGGGTTTACCCATCCCTACGAGAGTCAGACCCTCGGCCCCGAACCTCAACTGCATTGGCAAGTTCATCCCCATCCTCCTTCGTAAGGTCAAATTCTGGCACGTCTTGACTCACTCGCCGACGGACTGGTGACCTGGGGAATCGTGTGTCTCATCTAGTGCCGCTTCTGCAGCCGTCCGTTGAGCCGTGCCGTCCACGTGCATAGGATTAGCGGCGGGAAGGGGGGTATTCGAGTCTAGGGCTTTCGGGTTTAAGAATTATCGGGTTTAAGGGTTTCCTGTTTAAGGCGTTCGGGCGTCGGCGCTCGCACTCGGACAATCCATGCGAGGCATGTGGTTCGAGGTCTGAGGAGTGAACGAGCACATTGAGGGGAATAGGACCAGCTCACACGCTGCAATAAAGGTAACAACCTGTTAAGTAGGGCGGCCACTTTCCCAGAGAGATCCTCACAACTACCTGTGCCTAGTTGAGGACCGCAGTCGCTGCTGATGGTAGATCTCCGACGGGCAAAGGTGTTCGGGATTTTCCCTGTCGCATTGCCAAGACCAATGCCTACGGGACAACTGGACATGCTCAACAAGTTTCGGCGCTCACGCTCGGACAATCCGGGTGAAGCATGTGGTTCGTGAGTCTGCAGTCTGCTGAGGTCAAACAATCATTTCTAGCAAGCATTTACACAACACATACTAAATAATTTTTCGGGGTTAGGGTCTTCGGCCTTGGGGTTTCAGGCTTTCGCTAGTTTAAGTCTCGGCTTTCGGCGCTCACACTCGGATAATCCAGGCGAGGCATATGGTTTAGGGTTCACCTTGCCCACCCCTGAAGCCTCACTTGTCGTGGCGAGGGCTGACACACATGGCAAGCGGGTGACTGGACGAAGCACCCAAAAAGCGCGGGTAACAGCCCCCTCAATTATCTTAATTACTCTCAGCTCCCCGCTCGCTGGATAGGCAGCAGTCTCCCTAAAACATCTTGTTCCACACAGCCAAACGGAAGGCGGTCCGCCCGCCTCCTGCGCGTGAGCGCGCCTGGTTTCCTTTGTCTCGGTGTGAAAGCTCTAAAAGATGAGGCCGAAACATGATTACATCATTGTTGTGGTCCCCGTGTACTTCGCCTAAAAAACTGCTGCAAGCTGGTCACCACGTAGTCTTGGTGAACTGTAGCACATCAGTAAAGCTAAAAATTATCTCTCTCTCTCTGTCGCGCTTGTGTGCTTGCTTGCCGGGCGTTTGGGGTTGGGAAAGCGCCCCCTTCTCCTGCGCAGGCTCGCTACGCCTGCGTCCGAGTCTTGATTGGTTGGCGTGAAAGTAATACAAGCCCGCCTGAGCCGCATTGTCGAGATCTTTCTTTCGCCAGGGCTAGGGTGTAGGGGTTTGACCCCCTACACCGCGCGCGTCAATTGTCGAGATCTCTAGCTCTCTCTCTTGTCTCCGGGGCATAGGGGACTTGTCAGGCCCCCCGCGCCGACATGCGAACCCCTGTTTCGGGGCTTTTTAGGAGGGAGTGAAAACACCAACAAGCAGAGAGCTCTGTTCAAGAAGGCATGGTTCCCCGGTCAGAAAGCCAGAAAGTAATAAGATGGGGAGGTTTAAATGTTGGGAACTCCACAGAAGGCGGCCCGCAAGGTGAAGTCATGCATGCCCACTGAGGCCCTACTAAACGAAGAACACGAGAGCCGATGTAAATGCAGGACAGACACGGAGTGTCTGCGGTGTAATCTGTCGGATATCTTGCCTTCGTCGGTTCATAGCGAACTCAATTACTGGTCACTGCTTGCACCCGCAGCTTTTTCAGGACCGTACGAACTGCCACCCTTATGTTGGAACCGCGTCAGTTCCGCAGTCAGACCTCCTCTCGACCGGAAATTGCACAACTTGTCATGTTCAAAGTCCGTTAACTTCTGAGATTATCACAGGCTTTCCTCTTGATGTTGCGCAATCACATCGGCTGTCGGAGTAAGCTCTGGACTCAGCAAAGGAGACATACAAGCATGTCTCGCTGCTGTGGGCTCAAGATGAGTATGTAGATAGGTTGTCAGCACAGGGTGGCAGCAGATCGGGGGTTGAGGCTGGAGACCGCTGTGCCGCAAGAAGCGAGGCAAGTGAAATCGAATGCATGTATTGCGGCACGCGGAAGACGTGACGAGTCCCAGCCGGCTTTCTCTGGGTCTGCACTTAAAATGGTTGCGTGCGCACGCCCTAGCGAATGACCGTCGCTAGATGCCTGCTTGTAAGGCTCACCTAGGTTCCTCAGGAATCGAAGCTGCCCTTTCTGCTGGCTTGTTCGCTGTGTCCTCGCATCGAAAAGCTGTATGAGGCTTGTCAGTCCATCGCTAAAACGTCAGAAGTATTGTCCCAAACTGTCACAAAGAGCTACATGACAGCTCCTCGGTCATGACACCAGAATGTGTTCCTTGGCGGGCAGGACTGTCGGCGTCTGCTGTGGTGCTGGTGCTTCTATTCTTATTACTACCACCGCTTCAATTCGAGGAACCGAACTTGTCGCGAGACACCGGCTTCTTGTCCTTCTTGATTCTGGAATCGGCCTCAGGTGCTTTGACGTTTCAGCCAACGTACAGCGAGCCATTGCAGCGTGCACAGCTTGGGTATAGTGGCTTCTGCAGATCTGCACGTCTGAGTCCCCGACGCGCAGATTCACAGAATTCTGTGATGTTGTTGGCGAGACTAATGTCTTGTCATCTCCTTCAGAGAACCAGATACCGCCACTTTTGGCCGTCACTGTCTTCCTGGCATGCGCCCAGCTTGCTTCATCGGGTTTATTTGGGTTGCTGCCGGGTTCTCCCGCGATTGCAGACAAAGTGTTGCCATCGGAAGAACTCCGATAGACAAATAGAAAGTAGGTTGGCTCTCTAAATGTGAAAGGACACTTCTCTGGAATGTAAGCAATGCCTGACTTTAGGAACTTAAAAGCAACCTGGGGCCTCGATGCTACAGCAGCACCTTGGTGACCAGTGGTACTATTGCGATCAAGGATCAGACGGCTTTCCAAGTCTTGCTGCGTGTTTTCGCTGATTTGGTACTCCCTCAACTTCTCGGCCATGTCCTGAACCAATACAAGGGTTTAGGGTTTTTTTGCCTCCTACACAAGGGTTTAGGGTTTAGGGTTTAGGGTTTAGGGGTTTCGACTCACACACTCGCACAAAGCTGGCATGGCAAGAGAAGGTCCCGAGCTTAGGGGTTTAGGGTTTAGGCTTTAGGGTGCTTCTCCATCACGATCCTCGAGCAAACCTCCCCAGTTGCGAGCAATCCGACCAACAAACTGACAAAATGGCGCCGGTAGTCGTGCTCCGGGGCACACCGTCTACGTTTACCTTCACCTCCCTTGCTGAACAACTGCATCTGGTGGTCCTTCACGTTTCGCACGGAAACTTGAAGGTCACTTCCTCGCTTGCCGTGCTGAGAAGCCTGTGTCACAACTCACACTAGCCAAAGTGTGGTGTAGTGTCGCCGGTCATGTCGGCACTGCATGAGTGCCAGCACGAGCCTTCAGAACGAAGGGGTCTTTCAGGGCCTCGCTGGCAGTGACACGCTGACGAGGGTCTCGTACCAGCACCTGGCGCAAAGCTTAGGACATGGTGATACGTCGCGACGTGACTAGGCCAGAGGAGCTCTAGCTGTCTTTTAATTGCGAAGGATTCAGTTTCTGGTTACGGTCGCTCTTCGATTCATGCTTTTGAGATCTCATGCAGCAGCTGTGCACGGGATGGCCCCCTGCGAGCGGCACGCGTCTGGTCAGCTTCAACGCCAGGGAGGACTGTGACTCTTGGAACTCGAGAGGGGGGTCGTTGCTTCTGATGGCGTGCCTTAGGTAATTGAACGCGGTTTCTCGATATTGATGAGTCCAAGGCCCACAAGCGAAAACTGATAGGGTTCGAAGCAAACTTCAACGAACACAACAATCAAGCAAGCTGCTTCATGCTGTCAGCCGTGGGCTCACCAGGCGGCATATAGGGAAAACGACCGAAGAGGATAAGGTAGAGGATCACCCCGAAGGCCCAGACATCCACCTCCTGGAAATGACAGAGCCTACAGTGCGTTCACAGACATGACGTGGCTCTCAAACAATTCCACGCCCGAAATGACATGGGAAGCATGTCGGTGCTTCCTTGTGAAAGCTGGGTTTGGATCGCAGTCCCTTCGTCACCACCAATGTCTCTGGGGCCATATACGGAGCAGTGCCACCAACCCCAGTGAGCTTCCCCTTCTTCGGCTGTTTCAGGGCGAGACCGAAATCGCAAATCTTGAGCTGGAACCCGTGTTTCTCGCCACACAAAAAGTTTTCCGGCTTCACATCCTCGGATGCCACACTGGGTATCACTCTGAGAGTTCTATCATCTAGGGGCTCACTGATTCATATTCATTCCTGTGGGTCACGACACAGCCACAGTTCATGCCGAGCGTCCCTGTGCACAAGTCCTACCGTGTGGAGGTGCTGGATTCCATGCAGCATCTCTGACGCTAACGTGGCAAATTCCTCCTCTGTAAGAGTCTTGACCATGAGGAGGTGCTGCATGAGGTTTCCTTAGGAGACTTCGCATCGTGTTCACTACTCGCACACCAGCAACTGAAAAACCCAGGATTCTTCTCGAAACCGCTGCTGAGAAAGCTGGGTATCTTTGGCCTTTCTCGCAGACCATGTAGTAGAATCCACCGCAGTAGTAGGCATTGAAAAGGCAAGTGACTTGCGAGACTTTGGCTGCGCTTGCTATGCGCCACATGGCGATCTCGCGCTCCAGGCTTCTTCTTCTTCGCTTGCTCACCTGTTCTGCTCAGCGGCACACTGCACAGCTCTTCGCGCGAAATAATCGCTGTGGGCAAACCTATCACAAGAGCAGGCCGTACGATTGAACTTAGGCGCGGCCACAACATTGCGAGTTTCTTGTACCCGCGCATCGGCAACCTTCACTGCGAATTCCTGCAGCCCAAACGATGTCGGTCGTCGCACTCGAATCTAGGTTCTAGATTCCCACGGGCTGCAGCAGCGGCTACAGGAGCGAGTGTCACAGAAAACCAATGGATAAGGTGTGTAACCACTCCTCAATACACGCTACAGTATCTGTTGCATGCTCATTTCCGCGTGTCCTTCTTCGTCGTGATCTCCGTGGCTAACCTAACCTGACCGAAGGCTCCTTCGCCAAGCTTTTTGCCGAGTGCGTACCTCCGGGTATATCTTGTACTGGGCCTACATCTGGAGATATCTGGAACTCTCAGAGCAGTGTCGTTGGGAGACGGGGCAACAATCAAAGACGATTCTGATGTCTATGCGGCACAGTCAACCAGACAGCAACACAAAGCCCCTTTCGTCAGCGACAAGGAAATCCGCAGAATGTCAAGAAATGTCAGGAGTCAGCCTCTGGAAGAACTCAGCAGACTCAGGAATTTCATCGTACTCCTCCTGGCTGGCAGAGCAACCCATCCATGAACACTGCCGCAGCACGAACTGAGTGCTCTGTTCTTCGAGCCATGGAACGGCCTTCGCATGTGGAGGTTCGGAGAGTCTGCATGATAACATCTTCCACCGTGCACACACGAGTCAGCTGTCCTACCAAGCCCTAAAGACCCACAAATTTCGCAACAGAAGGCATGTCAATGGCTCTGCAAAACTCTGTTTGACGGGTCGTCTGCTTCCACGTGACACCAGGAGGTGCTTCACTTCTTTTTCTGCATAATGCAAAAGCCACACCGTCCAATCCTTCTCCAAGCTATCCCATGCACATGCCATGTCATCCCCAACTGGGGAGAGTATTCTGTGATCTGGGCTAAGCTATCCACACGAAACAGCGTCCGCAAAACAGCACCCGTGTTGCTTTCTGGTGTTAAGCATTACACTAGGCTGTACAAACATCATGACTGCTTTTTTGCAAAACTTGTGGGGCCCCTTTCGGGCACATCTGCACTCCAAATTGACTCGTTCGGTGCTAAGCGAGCCTGTTGACTTCAACAACCGCATGGCACAATGGGGCCACTTTGCATGATAGATTCTTGCATGCTTCTGCGGCTATCTGTGGTTGCACTGCCGGTGGCACTGTCCGGCCACGGTCTCAGGCCTGCGCTGTCGGTGGTCACTCCGAGGAACACACCAAAAGGTCAAAAAGTCGTCAAAGTGCATCAGCACTGTGCGAAGCGATGCCGCAGGCCCTGGCTCACCTTCGAAAGGTTTTCTCATGGCATAGATTGGCATAGATGTTAGGCTTTACAGAAGTGCATCTTCTGAGAACAGGCCGTTTTGGCCATTTCGCCAGGACTGCGACATGAAAGCCAGCATGTAAATCAAGCGCTTGCTTGTGTCTTTGACTTGGCTGGCAAATTCGGAGCGGTGCAAAGAAACGCTGCGAGAGCCAGGCTGACTGGCTTACAGTAGCGGCCCTAGGGACAACAGGCGTAAGAGAGTTTCATGTTGAAGTGTATAGATGCTCTTCTTTTTCTTTATAGTCCTCCGGCCGCAGCTGAATCCGCCGGGTAGACTTGAAGTCCGTCCTAGCCTTGGGAATGCCGGGTGAGAAGCTACGCAAAATTTTGCCAGAGCTACGCTTGGCAAAGTGAGCATCCGGCCTTGGCAAGATATCGATCTACATGAGTCGTGGGCCGCTGTCAAGACTCAGAGACCTAGTGAAGCTTGTCCGAACTTTCATGACCCTCCCTAGGTGCATCGGCGGCCCCTTTTGGGCCCTGTGTCGGAACCCAATACTTGCAGATCCTATGGCTGAGTTCCGACATTGGCGCACATGCTGCGGGGCGCAGGGGCGTAGACTCGGCAGCTCGGATTTTGCTCGGCCGGCCCCTTCTTACTGAGTATTCGAATGCTCTCGTAGGCAGCGCCAGGATCCGAAGCTGCCAAGTGCTAAATCGAGTTCAGCCGTGCCTCTCCAATGTGACAGAATCAGGCGAGCACTAAAGGTAAGCCCGCATTTATGCAGAACATGGCGTTACTACAATCACCTGTCAAGCATTCAAGGCACGAAGGCTGAACCCCAACAGAAACTGCATAAACTGTTGCCGGCTTTTACCTTCATCAAAGTTCCAGTACGTGCCAGTGGCTTCGTGCAGAATTCTTAACTATGTGTGCCAGACGACAAGATTGGACAGGGTCTTTACAGCTACACGACGACGACGACGACGACTATTATGAGAATACTAATACCTAGTAGTAGTAGTAGTAGTAGTAGTAGTAGTAGTAGTGGTAGTAGTAGTAGTGGTAGTAGTAGTAGTAGTAGTAGTTGTAGTAGTAGTAGTAGTAGTAGTAGCAGTAGTAGTAGAAGTAGCAGTAGC